CCATAGGAAGGGGAATCCCTGGGCAGGATTCCTGAGAATCTTAGTTTTAGCTCCAACAGTGATGGCCTGAGTGATGATGTCAGGATGACCAGCCTCCCCTCTCCCACCCTCCCCCCACCCCGGGTCTTCATTTCTCCATCTCTCTGTGTGGCATTTGTGGGTTCCTGTGGAACCAACATAAGTAGTGACTGGAAAAATATCTTGTAAATGGCAAGGTGAGTTGTAAGGGGTAGTGGGAGTATATACTCTGAACTAATTCTTAATCAGTTTGGGGGAATTCTTTTTTTGTTGTTGTTAGTACTGGAGGTTGAACTGAAGGCCTAGAGCTTGCTAGGCAGGTGCTCTGCGACTTGTGTCATTCTGCCAGCCCTTTTTGCATGGATTATTTTTGCGATATGATCTCCCTCTATCCCCTGAGGGTCTAGACTGCAATCCTACTATTTGTGCTTCCCCTAATAGCTGGGATGATAGGTTTGTGCCACCTCGCCCAGCCATTGGTTGAGATAGGGGTCTCAGGAACTTTTTTCCGTGAGTGACCTGGAACCCCATCTTCCCAACTTCCGCCTCCCAAGCTGCTAGGATTTCTGGCTTGATTTCAGGCACCTGGCCCTGTTTGGAATTCTTAAACACGTGGGAGACATCCTTACACAGATGGGAGGAGGTCCCTGTATATAGACAAGTAGGTACCCTTTACAGGTAGACGGGGTTCCTATGCAGATATGAAGAGTCCTTACACTGTGTGTGGTATCTTAAAACACATTCTGGAGTTGTCGGTACACTCAAGAAAGTTTGTGTCTAGAAGTGGTGTCATTATACAGGTTATAAAAAAGTGGGATGGTGCTCTTATTTACCCAAATGCAGGGCATCCTTATACTTAGAAGTGAGGGTTTTTTTTTTTATTACTGTGACTGGCCATTACTTGCAAAACACTGCACAAATGCTAGCGATCTTTACATCAACATAAAGGTTCTTCATTAAGGCAAAGGGGCCTTTATATTTCACGGTGATATCAGAGTATCAGAGTCCTTATACAGACCAGGAAGGCTAACAGTTTTAAGTCTCTGAACAGCTCATAGACTGAAGTGGCCCCTGCAAGGGCCACAGGTGGAAGCCTCGGTGAGGGCGGGGCGCCAGGCCCACAGCCGGCGCTGCAGTGCCCAAGACGGCCGCCAGGGACAGCACCAAGCCCTCGGCCGCGCCTCCCCCTCCCCAATCTCCGCCCCCCGCCCTACTGACTCCAGTTCCCCGGAGCCCCGCAGACCCTGCGCTGCCCGTTCCCAGCTAAGGCTCCGAGGTTCCCGGCCCGGTCCGCCCAGCTGCCCCTCCCCGGGGCAATGGGGGCGTCCCCGGGCTACCGGCCCTCGGCCTGGGTGCATCTCCTTCATCAGCTGCCCCGAGCCGACTTCCAGCTCCGCCCCGTGCCCAGTGGTTTCGCGCCCAGGGAGCAAGAATACCAGCAGGTGGGACGCGCGCGGGACCCGACCCCAGCTTCTGGGTCCCCAGGGAGGACGAACCTGGGTCACAGTTCGTCCTGGGGTCTGGGGGCTGGCCTGGACTTGGGGGGCATCTGAGGGAGGAAGAGGTAGGGTGCCCATACTTGGAGGTCCCCCTAGGACAGGCGTTGGAGATCAGAACCCTCGCTACCTAATTAAGGGAAAGGGGGCTGGATCCCCGAGTCCTGAAGGGGAGAGGTGGGGGCGCCAGGATTCCCTTCTCTGAGACCTAGCCTGGAAGCCAGCCTCCAGGGTCATCAGAGGAAAGGTCTGCTCTTCGGGTCCTAAAAGAAGAGCCCGCCCCCATAGAATCTCAGCAGGTAAATATGTCCCAGAAAAGGTGCGACCAGAGAGAGCGAACCTGATAATGGTAGAGGGAAGGCTGGGGGTGGGGGTGGCGCGGTCTGGGACAGGGATAGAGATCCTGAAATGGGGAAGGGAGGTTTTAGGGCCATGGCTGGGAAATGAGGTGGCTTTAGAAGAGGACTATCCAGCCTGTCCCAGGACAGAAGAAGTGGGGAGGTATTGGGCGCTAGAGGGGGTCAGGGGAGATAAGGTTGTGTTTGGGGAGCCTTGGAGGATGACAGACCTGGGTCCTGGAGGGTGGGGCCGGTGTGAGAACCTTACAGAAGCCAGGGTCCCTAGGAAAGGGGGCTGAGCTGCAGCTCCAGTAAGGGAAAGCTGTCCCCTGACCTAGTTTAATTCCAGTCTTTGACTTTGAGATTAGTGAGGAGAAAGGCTTGCTGAGCTGGGGGCTCGCTAGGTGTGTGTGTTTGTGGTGGGGGGTAGTGGGGTGGGTGGGGGGGAGTCCTGGCGGCCCCAGCATGGGTTCTGGCCCAGCTCACAAGGTCCTGCATCTTCCTAGGTTGCTTCTGGGAAAGGGGCCAGAGGTTGGGAGAGCTTAGAGAGAGTGGGGGCTCCCGCAACAGCAGTGGGGGATGTGTGCTGTGCACTAGCTATTTGGGTCATGGCTGCCACCACCGTGAGCAGCTCCTCCCTGCCTACTCCACCGCCCCCTCTCCCCACCAAACAGGACCGCCATCCCCTCTCCCACAGCCTCTTACACAATCACAACCTCCAGCCAGTCCACCCACTCCTGGCCAGCGCCAGACTCAAACAGCTCATGGCCCTGGAGAGTTCCCCAGACACAAGTGGTCCCACCGCCCTGTCATTGCCAGAGGAGTTCAGAGAGGGTCACTGCCCCCATCACAGCTAGTTGGGATCATAACCAGAACCGTGCACATATGGTTCCACCCCCAGAACCTCCCCCTTCAGGGATATGACCACAGGTGGACACTATCAGGGATTGGGGGTATAGGACCTGCTGGGACACACACAGTCATATATACACACACATGTACACACACATGTACACACTCATGCACATGTGTACATATGACTGGATGCACACTCATGTGTAATTCACACTCAGCATACTCAACACTTGCTCGAACATTCACACACACATACACTTACATCTGCTCACACAGATACACATGTTCACCTATTCACACTCACAGGTGAACACAAAGATTGACATTCACACACTCCCAGAATACAAACATCTCTCACACACACTCACACATATACTCACAACTCTCACAGTCACACACATGCACCACTACCACCACCACTACCACCACCAGACACAATTCATGGACTCAGGGAGCTGTGCTCAGAACACACAAATGCACATAGGTGCTCTGTCACCTCAAACTCAATGCTCCAGCATGTCCTCACCTCATGACATTCAAATGCAAAGATAAGACATCTAGTCTCATAGCCAGAAACACCAATACTGCACTCACCTGTCACATACACACCAGTCATGCTGAAGACAAGGGTGTAGAGAAAACAGCCTCAGGAGAGCAGGAGTGTGAGTTTGATCCTGACTGCTGCTGCCCCTCCTTTGCTGTGTGGTTCAAGGCAAACCCTACCTCTCTCTGGTCTTCTGAGCAGACCAGCACACAGGTCGGCTGGAACACCCTGCCATGAGCTGACCGCTATTCTGCAAGTACAGACAAGTTCTCTGCCTGCCTCTGTCCTGCAGCCTTTGGTTCTCACAACATCTCTGTCTCTGTCTCTCCACTTTTCTCTATGGTTCTCTCTCCTTTCCTCTCTTCTCTCTCTCACTTGATCTATTCAGGCTCTGTCATTTCTCTGCACCTTTGTCTCTTCTTCCTGCATCATTCTGCCTGTGTCTTCCTCCATCTCTTTCTCTGTCTCTCTCTCTCTCTCTCTCTCTCTCTCTCTCTCTCTCTCTGTTTCTCTTTCTCTGTCTCTCTCTCTCTCTCTCTCTCTCTTTCTCTCTCTCTGTTTCTCTCTCTCTCTCTCTCTCTCTCTCTCTGCTCTGAGTTCATCCTCCAGGTCTCCATTTCTGAATCTTGTGGTGTACACACACACACACACACACACACACATATGAGTTACAGAGCATTGGTCCTCAGCCCAGGGGTGATAGACTCAGCTATGGTGGGTGAGCACTCAGCAGCAGGGGAGAGAGGGAGTGGTGAGTGGGAGGGAGACAAAGGTGCTTTCCCCACCCTTCCAGGCATAGGACCCTGAATCTCTGTCCTCTGATCCTACACAATTCTAGGGAGCCTCAGCATGACCTTGGTCCTTGGGAGATGCTTCATTCTAACTGCCTGGCTGCAGTGAGGAGGAAACTGAGGCTGGGGTGGGGGATGCTGCCAAAGGTTACACAGCCACTGGAGGGCAGGCAGAGCTGGAACCTGAGGCTTGAGTCTCTGTAATTGGAAGCTCCTCCAGGAACCTGGCCCAAAGTCCTGACAACTTAGGAGTAGCTAGGGACTCCATCTTTCCCCACAAACCTGACTGCAATCAGGATGGGCTTGGTCCCATCTGGTAGGGAGGGGCTCTGAGTTTGAAACACATGGGTGCCCTCTGAGGCTTGGTGTTACCCCTTCCCCAGGCCCTGTTGCTGGTGGCAGCCTTGGCGGGCCTAGGCCTGGGCCTGAGCCTCATCTTCATCGCTGTCTACCTCATCCGTTTCTGCTGCTGCCGGTCCCCAGAGCCCCCTGGGGCCAAGAGCCCCCCTTCTGGGGGAGGCTGTGCCACCTGGAGCTGCATCGCTGCCCTTCTCGTGGGCTGGTAATGGGGCCCCATGGCATGTGGGCAGGGGGGACAGGGCCTCCCATGCTCCCTGTCAGCCTTCTTGATGGTGTCCTGAGGTGTGGGGCTCCAGGCAGGAGAATGCCCCTTTGCCTTCAGCAGGCAGGCATAGGTGGGAAGACCAGGGCTCCCTTGAATTTCCCAAGGGCGGCCAACCTGGTGGGGGGTGGTAGGGTTCAAACCCTGGCACTGATCAGACTGCTTGGTGTTAATGGCCTTTCCATTAAATAGCTGTGTGTGCTTGTACACTCGTGCACACATACTCCTAAGGGTAAGATGCTCTTAGGACCTCAGTTTCTACATCTGTAAAGTGGATTTTACAGTCTCACACACCCCCTAATAATGTTAAAACTAGATGAGAGGGGCTCTGGTCATTCGCTCATCAACTCATTCAATCAACAACTATAAACAGCTACTACACAGGGCAGCCCAGGAACCCAAAGAGACAGACCACGCACAAACTTTCACAGTCAGGAATGCCCTTCCTGAACCCAAGCCGGTTCAGTTCCTTCTCACAGCAGCTGCTGGACTCAGAGTTATTACTCTGGGTCTTGAGAGAAGACAGAGCAGGGAGGGAGAAAGGCAACTCTTCAAGGCCACCTGGCTTTAGGAGCAGAAAGGAGATTTAATGCTGTGTTGAGAGAACTCCCTAACCCCTCCCAGGGGCTTCTTCAAACAGGATATTTACCAGGAGCCAGTTCTGAGCCCTGCCCCCACCAGGTCAGGGACAGCTGGGCTATGCCACAGATTAGAGGACTCCAGGATTTGAGGGTGCCAGTCTAGTACCCATGTGGTGCCTCCAGCTGGGGGCATGGCTTGGAGCCTGTCGCCGCCCCAGCCTGGGCTCTGGGCCATACTTCCTCACTGCAGAGAGCAGAGGGTGTGTGTTTGGGGGTGCAAGGAGTCTGGGTGCCCTATATCCAAGATCTTTCCTCATCAGGCTCTCCAGACTGGGGGTGAATGGGGGAGATGGACAAAGGCCCAGCAGGAGAGAGACACTGCCCCAGCCCTGGGGGTGGAGAGTGTAGGGGAAGGCTGGAAACAAGAGGAGCTTTGTAGGGTTCTGAACAATGGAGCTGGGCACTAGGCTCCCATCCAAGGGATGTGGGTGGGGCTGTGGGGGCTTGCAAAGACTGGGCTGGGAACTGTGAGGGTGTCATGTTCTCGCCCCCTCCAACATGGGACACAGATTGGGGGAGGGGATGGTTCCCCATATTTAGGCTCCACAATGGAGTTCTGTGTGTTAGCTGAGCAGGGGGCAGGGGCAGGGGCAGGGGCCCAGCCTCCAACTTTCCCTCCCACATTCTCTTACTCTCCTCCTGGCTGGCCAGATGCCTGGGTCCCTGGGTAGGGTGGGGGAAGGCTGAGAGCTCCAGGCACCAGTCCCCCATGAACTGGTGGAGGCTAGAGGCTTTGTGCTCCTAGGAACACACAGGAGGCAGGGGTAAGGTCCACCCAGGCCCTGAAATGACAGGTGCTGGGAATACTAGTTGCTTGAGAATGGATGCAGGAGATGATGTTCATTAGGAGGAAACTAGGCAGGACTAGGGTTCAGCTCCAGCTCTGGGGAAGTGTTAGTTAAATCTGGGGGCTTCCTTCCCTCCACCATCCCACCCACCATTAGCATCACAATGACGTTCCTCTGGGGGAGTGAAGCCTTCCCATTACCATGGCAACCAATGGGGGGAGCCAAGCTGGAGATGTTTCTTTTCCCACGGCAGGCTGGACCAATGAGGTTGGTGCAGAGACAGGATAGGTGGATGAAGAGGTGGGTGGAGGGGGTGCATGTGGGGGGACGGTGGCCCCCAGAGTCCCAGACTAGTTGAGATTTTTCTCTCCTCTCAGCGCAGGCATTGGCATTGGTTTCTATGGCAACAGCGAGACCAGTGATGGGGTGTCCCAGCTCAGCTCTGCGCTGCTGCATGCCAACCACACACTCAGCACCATTGATCACCTGGTGAGGGGGCCAGCAACTAGACCCACACCTGGACTGGTTTCCCACATGGGGACATTTCCCTCCCACCCCTAGAACAAAGGGACCCAAACTCAAGAGCAGACCCCAAACCTGAAACTTAGAACCCCGACTGACTCAGAACTGCATTCCTCTAACGGCATGCGTAACCCCAATACTGACTGCAACCTTGAGCTTGAGCTGGATCTGGCTAAAACTCAGACCTCAGACTCATATCCAAAGACCTGGGCTCACATTCCCAGACCTGGACTTGAAATCATACCCCAAACCAGAGTCCAGACACAAGGGACTCCAGCCTCTGCCCTTGGGCTTCATCCAGAGCTCCAGACCTAATCCTTGGCCACAAATGCAAGCTTAAGTATCCCATTCTGGAGATCCAGGACCCAGGATTCCAGACCCCACATCATGGACTAGGCACCCAAACTTGAGACACCAGACTCAGACCTAAGACCCCCGACTTGAAGCTGGTCCTGGAGCTCGAGCCACTGACCATCCAGAGCTCCTGACAGGAGCCACAGAGCTCCATCAACAGGACCCCAGATTCCCACCCAGACATTTCCCCTTCCTCAATCTTCAGGTGCCCAGACTCATATACCTGCTTCACCCTGAGACTCCATCCCTCAATCCTAGGCTCTAAAGAACCCTCTCCCCAGCCTTGATACTCTGCCTCCCCCAGGTGTGGGAGACAGTGGAGAGACTGGGTGAGGCAGTGAGGACAGAGATGACCACCTTGGAGGAAGTGCTGGCACAACGCATGGAGCTGGTGGCTGCTGCCCGGGGTGCTCGGCGGCAGGCTGAGGCTGTGGCCCAGCAGTTGCAGGGGCTAGCCTTCTGGCATGGTGTGCCTGTGAGTCCCCTGCAGGTGGCTGAAGATGTGTCCTTTGTGGAGGAGTACAGGTGAGAGGTGGCTTCCCTTCCCACCCCCTGTATAACAGGGGTCCTCAAGCTGGGAACATCAGGCAGTGTCTGGAGGCAATTTTGCTTGTCAGAATTGGGGGAGTGGAGGCCAGGGATGGTACACCTTGTAGTGCGCAGGACATCCCCACAATGGAAAAGTATCCAGCCCCAAATGTCAACTGTGGCAATGCTGATAATCCTAGCCGTATTGACCCAGGGTATCACCCTCATGCCCATATATTCACCCCATTCACTTACCCCTTTGATTATAACCTCACTCATTTATTTACTCACACAGTCATCCCTTGATTCACTCATCAGCAAATTACTCTTGCACTCAGTTGCTCCCAGACTCATCTAGTGATAAGTAACCTGCTTTTTCCATTATCCCATGTGAGTTATATATTCATTCACCAAATACTTATTTAGCACCTTCTGATGAGAGAGAGGGCACACATAAGACTGGGAACCGTTGCTTCACATAGCCATTCCTTACCCATGTCACTTGACTCCAGTTACTTTCCATCCTCCTGCCTCAGTTTCCCCACTTGAATGTGAGCTTGCTGGTAGCACTTCTCATTGGATTGTGTAGGGTGAGTTGGTATTGTTGAGCACTGGAAAGGCGACTGGTACACAGTGACCTTGAAAAAGTGTCAGTACAGTGCCACCATGCCAGGAGGTGGGAACAGAGCAATCAGCAAAGAGCTGGATTGAAGTCCTGCCCAGAAAGGCTTTGTCTCCCACCAATAAGGAGCAAGTGCATAAGTAAAGAGCAAAACAGATTGTTAGGTGGTTGGTGATCAGAGCTTTGGAGAAAATTTAACAGGACGGGTTGGGCTGGAATGGGCTGGTAGTTTTTATTAAGGGGTCTGGGAGGGCCATACTGAGAAGGTGAGGGAGGGAGAAGAGAGCTGTGCAGCCCTCTGGAGTGGCCACCCTTCCTTGCAGTGCAGGACTGTTGTAGGGAATTTTTGGTGCTGAGGGTTGACCGGAGGTGTGTCTCAAGTGGTAGAGTATCTGCTTTGTAAGTGCAAAGCCCTGAGTTCAAACCCCAGTCAGGAAAAGGTTGAAGAAGTTTACTAGGACATGGAGAAACAGTGGGCAGCTGTTGAGCACAGGGAGTACTGCTCCTGGGAAGATATGAAGGTTGGGCAGGGTTTTTTGGGTTTTTTTTTTTTTGGTGCTGGGATTTGAACTCAGGGCCTACACCTTGAGCCACTATTGCAGCCCTTTTTCATTTTTTCTGAAGGACTTTTTCGAGATAGGGTCTTGCAAACTATTTGTCCTGACTTCGAACTGCAAATCTCCTGATCTCTGCCTCCTGAGTAGCTAGGATTACAGGCATGAGCCACTGGTGCCCAGCTAAGGGTTTTTTTTGTTTTTGTTTTTGTTTTTAATGTAAAGGAAAGACTCCCTCAACAGCAGGGTGAGCAGACTCAAGAAGTAGCTCTGCACTGAAGGACTCAAGACCTCAAGCTTTTATTGGGGTCAACAAAAATGGGGGTGTTCAGCCCTGGAAAACTGGGTTATGTGTCATTAACTCTCAGAGATTGGGCTATGTGTCATTAACTCCTCCTATGTGTGTGTTGGCGGGGGGTTGGCCTTGGATGGTCAGACTGGGGCTGTTTGTAGCAGTCTAGAATGTGATTTTTTTTTTTTTTTGGTGGTACTGAGGTTTGAACTGAGGACCTCATGCTTGTTCAGCAGGTGCTCTACCACTTGAGCCTCTTGGGCAGCCCAAGGATGTGATTCTTTATGAACATCCAAGGCATGGTTCTCGGCCATTAAGTTTCCTGACTCCCTGCTTAATCCTCATTACTTGTGTGAAGAGGCGATGGGGTGTCAGACAACAGGAGATAGACAGGCCTGAGTCCAATAATGACCAGGTTCTTCTTCAAGGCCAAGCCCAAGGCTACAAGAGCTGGGTCTCAGTGGGGGAAGTTGGTACAGCTGTTAGGATGATTTAAGGTGAAACAGAGCCACTATCCCCGGGGAATGTCTGGGAGTGCAGCCGCAGCTATGTGGGGACCACTGAGAATAGCATCATTTATTGGGTACTTCCAGGGTGGCAGGCACTGACTGTGCTGTGGCCTTCCATGCTTTCCCCCCTAAACCAGGGTGAGTCACTGATATTTAATTACTTATAAAATACCATTTAAAGCTTCCTTATTAGTGTGCAAGCCAACACTCAGTGTCTCTACAAAGTCTTCTAAGGCCTTTACACATATTTACACATTTGCCTGGCAACAACCTTTCAAAGTTGTTGCTGTTGTACTCCCCAGGTTACAGGTAGGAAAACTGAGACAAGGAGTTCCCGGACAGTTACACAGCTAGTTGGGACCCAGGAAGCTCTGCCTCCAGACATCATGTCCAAGGGACATGCGAGGAAATCCTTGGGACCTGATGAGTTATCTTTACTCTACAGGGCTGGGCTGGGGACCGTACTCAGAGAGGTCATCATTACACATGTCCATGTTCACAGACCTTGTGTGTGTTGTCCCTTTAGGGTAGGTCCTGGATGCTCCAACTCCAGGACCTGAACTGCTGCAGTGTCCTGTCTTCCCATGCACCATTTCACACATGAGCTAGCTACAGCTTAAATGGTGGGTGCAGGGAGGTTCGCAGCCATGCTGGGCAGGGGTGAACGTGGGGTGCTGTTTCCTGAGTCTCCCTGCCTCTGCTCTCCCACCCTCAGGTGGCTGGCCTATGTCCTCCTTCTGCTCTTGGTGCTCCTGGTCTGCCTCTTCACCCTGCTGGGCCTGGCGAAGCAGAGCAAGTGGCTGGTGGTCGTGTGAGTCACTGTGCGCATCACACAGGGCAGGGACCCCTTTGCTAGGCTGCCCTCCCTCAATGCTTCCTGTGCCTAGCACTTCGTGCTGTAGGGCTTCATTCACTGTCAAGGGACCAGGGTCTCTCCTGGGCTAGGAAGCTGACAGACCTAGAGAAGCCTGGGGGTGGGGGGTGGGCACATGGAAACAGACAGGTCTTGCTGCTCATAGCATGCAAAAATCATGGGAAATATGTCCATGATGTCTGAGATAAAGATAAGTTTAATCACTGACACCTGTTGATGACCTCGCATGCTGTCTCCTTCAGTAGCAAAGACCCCAAGATGGAGGTACTGTTCGACTTCCTGCCTGGCAAGTGAGGGCCTGAGGCAGGGGACTGCCAAGTGGCATGGGGGGACTACAGACCCAAGGCTTGCCCTGTGTGCCAGACACTCCTCTTGGCACTCTGTGGAACCCTCATGCCCAGCCTCCATGGTAGGCACCTCTGTCCTCCTTGTTTAATTTGAAGCTCAGAGAGGTTGGACCACTTGCTTAAGGCCTCCAGCACAGCTGGAGGTTAGACTCAAACCCAGCCAGTCTATCATTGGAAGAGTCCTTTATTTGTCTTCTTCATGGTAGGGATTACGCTTGTGCCTGCCATCTGCACACTTGCCCTTGGGGAGAGGTCCTGTCACTTCAGTATAGGGGTCACTGAAGCTTGGAGATGGATAAAACATGGTGCACAGAGATGGCCTGGGAATGGAGGCTAGACTTCAGCTTGAAGTCCCAGGCTTTGAAACAGCCAGGCTTAGAGTTTCAGCTCTGGAACCGTCCCCACACTTTGGAGATGGAGACTGGGCAGAAGGAGAGGCTGACCAGGCTGTGTGTAGACCTGGGAGTAGGCTTGAGCAGTACTGAACCTGCAGAATTTAAAGCCTGGGAAATTAAGCCCAGAGGCCACCATGGTGGCCTCCTAAGGTGCAGGTGAAGTGGGGCACAGATCAACTGAAATACAGGCTGCTGACCTGCCAGCCTAGGTCCTCCTCCTCCACATCCCTGACTGCTCTGGGCAGAGGCCAGATGTTCTGCTTGATATCAGCAATTACAGGCCCCTTGTGCCCTAACTGATCCTCCAGGTGGGCTCCAGAGGTAGATGGGACTCAGATGTTGGAAGAGGCAAGGTGGAGGGATTTAGGCCCCTGAGTCCACACCCCTCCTCCTACTCTAGGATGACTGCCATGAGTCTCCTGGTGCTTGTCCTGAGCTGGGGCTCCATGGGCCTCGAGGCAGCCACAGCTGTGGTGAGTGCTGGGGGCTCTGGACTCAGGGGGCCAGAGACCCTGACTCCTGGATTTTAGGGTGGGGTGAGACCCAACCAATGCCTTAGGCTTGGAGAAGAAGGATGAAAAATTTCAGTTCTGTAGTTCAGGCCTGGTTTCCTGGTCCTGAGACAGCAGAAGCTGCTTCTGGGACACCTGAACTCTAAGAAAAGAGAGGCTGAGGGCCTGGACCTTTGGGTCTGAGGGAAGAGAGGCTAGAACCTGGTCTCCTGGTCTGAGGGAGGAGGGCTGGGTCCTGGACTCCTCCTGGGTCTGAGGGAAGAGGGGCTGGGGTCAAGAATTCTGGTTTGAGGTAGGTGGGCTGGGCCTGGACTCCTACGTTCTTTGGGAGAAGGGTTGGGTTGGACTCCTGCATCTTATGGGAGTGTGGAATTGGCAGTATCTGATCTGAGCCCCTCTGGCTTTCTCACTCAGGGCCTCAGTGACTTCTGCTCTAATCCAGACACCTACATCCTAAATGTGACTCAAGAGGAGACAGGTCTTGGCTCAGGTGACTCCCATGGTCCCTGCTTTCCTTGGGCCTTCCCAGTGCCCAGTTCAGGGTGGGATGGGCTACAGAGCCATCTACCAGACTTGCAGAAGTTCTGGGCCCCTGTCCTGGTGCTCTGGAAAAGAGGACGGGAAAGATACTGGTGTGTGGAGAGGGATCAGGAAAGGGTGGTCCTGTGCCTCGGGAGCAGGAGGACTTGGCTGTGGAACAGGCACAGTTCAGTCAACTTAGGGGGCTGCCAACTGTGGGTGGAGCAGAAGAGATGAGGGAGCTGGGTGTGGAGGTGCATACATGTGATCCCAGCACTTGGAAAGCTGAGGCAGGAGGAGCATGAGTTCAAGGCCAGACCAAGGACTTGAAAAAAAGGGACAAGAGGCTGAACACCAGCTCCTGCAGATACCAAGAGGATTCCCGAGTTGGGGAGTAACTCGAGGGCCCTGTTCCTCTCCTGCCTTCCCCAGGCTCACAGCCTCCTCCTCCCCTCTCCCCTTCCACTTCAGACATCCTGAGCTATTATTTCCTGTGCAACCAGGAGGTCTCCAACCCCTTCCAACAGGTTAGGGCTGCAGGCAAGGGAAATGGGAGTTCAGGGGACCATGAATGTGGACCCTTGCGGGAGGAGATGGGGCTGGAGCCTGGACTCCTGGGTTCCTGGTATGGAGGAGGGTGCAGGTGCCCAGCGTTGTGTGATCTGAGAGTGAAGAGAGGGCCAGGGCCTGGACCGCGGGGTCCTCCTCCTTCCTGTCTTCCCGCAGAGACTGACTCTGTCCCAGCGAGCTCTGGCCAACATCCATTCCCAGCTTCAGGGCCTGGAGCGAGAAGCTATCCCCCAGTTCCCGGCAGCACAGGTGGATGGACTGCACTAGACCTAGGGGAAGGAGGGCGGGCGGGAGGAACTTGTGCGGTGCAGGCGGAACCCACAGACAGGGACAGGGAGGTTGGGTGAGGAGGACCTGTGCAGCCGAAGAGCTAGATAACTGTTGGGGGGGCGGGGCATGCACAAGTGGGCGGAGCCAGAGTGATGGGTGAGCCTGATAACATCTCCCTTCCCTTGGCAGAAGCCTCTGTTGTCCTTGGAGGAGACACTGAATATGACAGAGGGAAACTTCCACCAGCTGGTGGCACTGCTGCACTGCCGCAGCCTGCACAAGGTCCGTCTTCCCTCCACCTCCCACCCCAGGCTCTGCTCCTCTAGGCTGGCCTCAACCCAATGGACCCCCTCCTAACTCTCCCTGCACACACTTCTCATTCCTCCTGAGAATTTCTATATGTCCTCCTTCTGTGTGCATTAGTTATCATATTGCTACTGTGATACTCGCCCATTACCTATCTACCAACCATCCATCCATCCATCACTTATCATCTGTACTCCCTCCTTCTTTCCCTCTTCCAGTCTCCCCACACTTCCTTCCTTGTTTTCTCCCTCCCTCTCTTCTCTTCTCTCCCCTCCTCCATGAGCCCTGGAGGGAGAGCCTGGCTTCCCCCTCTGGCAGGTCTTCCAGCTCCTCCATGCCTCCTGGCTTGCAAAGCCTGAGTTTCCAGATGAGTGAGGGTCCGGTTGTCCCTTGGTGTGGGGAGGCAGGGAAGACTTCCCAGCTCCAGTGTGGGCTCTGCTGTGGGCTGGGGAGGGAGCTGTGTAGACAGGCCAACATCTGTGAATATGTTTCCTCACCTGTGCAGTGAAGAAAAAGGACACCATCTTCAGGTGACAGTTGTGAGTGCTGAACAGAAACTCACTCTCAGAAACTCTAGTGCTCAAATGCAGGTTTGACTGCTTTCCCACACACAGGCTTTACCACGAATGAGCTCTGTGGTGTTTACAGATGGGAATTCACTGACTCCTTCCCACTCCCAGAATAACACCAGGAAGAAAGAAATACTATTATCTTGAAGTCCTGGAAGAGTGACTTGCCCAGGGTGGCACCCCCAGGAGACAGGGACCTTGCCTCTCCCTCTCTGGCCCCCACTGTCAGGCATTACTAGTCCTGTCCCTCTACCTCTGAACCATCTGCCTCTGTTCACCACATGGGGCCTACTGCTGTTCACTTGGTTCTCTGACCTTCAGGACCATGCTTCCTGGCCACATTCTCCCCATATCTGGTCTGCCCCGGAACAGGGATGTGAGTTCAGCAAACAGAGTCTTCCCTATAATATGCAGGTGCAATTCTAGGGAGGTCTTTATGATAAACCACAATTTACTGGGTACCTGAAATTTGAAATTAACTGGATGTCCTGTATGTGATCTGGCAATCCTACCTGAAGAGAAATCGCTACACTACAGCACCCACAGGATGGCCAGGGGCACTGAGTGCATACTCTGAATTACTGAATATCTGAGGAAGCCTGGGGGGGTGGTCCTTGCACTTTTAATCAAGGGCAGGTTGAGACCTTGGCACTGCCCTATGGTGGACACTTGGCTGCAATATTGGTTCTGGGACTTCTCAGTGAAGGGAGAGACAATGGGTCAGTCTCTGACCTCCACTGATACACCATGTGACCCTGGGCCTTGGATCACCCTGTCTGAGCCTCAGGTTCTCCACATATTAAAAACAAGGCTGAGGGACATTAGGGCTAGGAAAAAGGAGGGTAGGCTCTGGAGCCTAAAAGATGGCTCCAATCCTTTCCAGGCTGTGTGACTCTGGACAAGTGGCTTGCCCTCTCTGGGCTTCAACTTCTTTCTACTACAGCATGAGAGCTGTTGGTGTCTGCCTTGTGGGGATGCTGTGGAAGTGAAAGGACACTGTAAAGGTGCCTGACATCTTCCAAACAAAATCCCCCATTTCCCTGACAGGCCCCTCCCTCCCATGCCCATGATTCAGCAGCAGGTACCCCCTGACCTTGCCCCAGCATGCAAGCCAGAAACTCCAGAATATCCTTTTTGCTCCCTGTCCTCACCTCCTCCCAACTTCCTGCAACAAGTTCTGTTAGCCCTTCCTCTGAACTCTATCTGGATGCCAGCCACTGCTCAGACAGCCATTACTGCTGACAGGTCCTGGCCATCTTCGCCTCCTGCCCTGGAGCTTCTTTCCTGTCTGCTTGCCCACCCCCATCTGTCCAACAACAGCCATCAGCTGGTGAGCCTTTCAACACACAATCCGATCAAGAGGTCTTCCTCTGCTTAAAGCCTGTAGTGATCCCCCTGCTTTTGGATTAAAATCCAGGCTCCCTGCCCTGACCTACAAGGGCTTTCATGGTCAGTCCTGTCCACAGCTCTCTGGCCTTAGCACCTGCCACCCCCACCCTCCACATCAGTCCAGCCTGTCCAGAGAACACCTGTTTCCTTGTGCTCTATTTATCTGTGCTGATCTCAGGTGGCCTGGCCCAGCCTTCTCATCTTGTCTCTCACCAGCTCATTGTCTGACATGACCTTCTCTGTCCTGTGTACTGAAGGTCCCCAGTACTGGGAGCGTGCCTGGTGCAGAGGCTTCAGTCCATCCCTGTGGAATGAACTGGCAAGTTAGCTGGGCCACTGGGCATTCAGGTCACGGTAGCTTTGTTGACTTTCAGAGCTTGTAATCACAATAGATAACATTTGCCTTGTGTGTGCCACCAAGTGTCATGCTAAGCCAGTGATTTTGGACCCAGGAGACATTCAGCAATATGTAGAGAAGTAACTGCTTGCTATTACTGTAAGAAGTGGGGGGCTGCTAAAATCTAGTGGGTGGAGGTGGGGTATACTGCTCAAAATCCTGCAACACAGAGAACAGAGACTCTTCCAGCTCCAAGTGTCCAAGGCACCTGGTGTGAGTTGGGGCAAGGAGACAGCAATGTGGCAGCTGGCTCAGGGTAGGGTTGTTAGAGCAGTTCTCTGGGTACTGGATGAAATGCTGGCCTGGTTCAGATGTAAGGGCCTGTGCTGCAATCAGGGTGGGATGCAGCTTAACAAAGGCACAGATGACCTTCCACCTTCAAAACAGCCCTTTGGCGGGAGGAAACTGAGGCACAGAAAAGCTGGGTGACCTGTACACGATCACACAAGCCAAGTGGCCTCCCCATGTGTGCTGTGCACAGTGTCTAGTGTGTGTGTGTGTGCTGACACTCAATCTGTGCCCTAGGACTATGGTACAGCACTGCGTGGTCTGTGTGAAGACGCCCTGGAGGGCCTGCTCTTCCTGATGCTCTTCTCCCTCCTAGCTGCTGGGGCCCTGGCCACCACCCTCTGCAGCCTGCCCCGTGCCTGGGTCCTCTTCCCGCCCAGGTCAGCATGGGAGAGAGGGCAGGGTCCCCGGGGAGGGGACAGGAGGCAGCACCCAGGGCCACTGGTGGGGAGGGGATGGCCTCCTGATGGGTCCCCATCCTGCTTCTCTGCTGCTCTCCACATCACATGCCAGTGACGACTATGAGGACACAGATGATGATGACCCTTTCAACCCTCAGGTACAGCCCAGGTCTGAGGGAGGAGGTCTGGGGTCTGTACCCCAGGGTCTGAGGGAAGAGGCTGTGACTTGGACTCCTGGGTGTGAGGGAAGAGGGCTGTGGGTCCACAGAACAAGCCAGATTTACACTTCATTTCCTTCTCTGTTCCATGTCATCCTGGCAGGAATCCAAACGTTTTGTACAGTGGCAGTCGTCCATCTGATGCCCTCTTCCCTACCAGCCTTGAGCCCAACAACCTTCCTCGGTGAGCTTCCAGGTGACTCCCTGGTCCACACTGGCTTTGCCTTCCCCTACAGCACTTGGTTTGCAATTGTGTTGAGGGGGCTGTACACCAGGGCTGTATAGCCTGTCAGTGCCTCATTTCTGCCTCTCTGCAGTTCCTTTCCTAGCTGCTGGAGAAGGCCCCACTAACTTGCTCCACCTGGGCTCTGACCACTAACTGCTGGCTATGGACGCCCTCACAAGACTGCCTCCAGCCCTGGCCCCAGTGCCCCCAATCTGTCCTTAGCACTGGGGGTAGCTGAGGGAGCAGAGCAGGGACCAGGGATGGCAGGAGATGGGGCAGACAAGACCACCCCACATCCCTCATCCCTGGCTGCTAGTACCATACTTGGAGAGACTGAGCTGGGGATGGGACATGAGTCTCTCCCTGCTCCTGCCATATCGCAGTGGGCTCCGGCCCCCTGATCTCAACTTGTGGCACTAACTTGGAAATGGGTTGATTTGAAATAAAAGGGAAGACTTTATTTTACAAGCATACAGGTCCTTCTCATTTCTCCCCTCCCTGGCTTCTCCTCCTGGCTGGGCTGGGGAGACCTCCTTCCCCAGGGTGGCTAGGGAATTCTGCTCCTGACCAGGCTCAGTGTGGCTCTAAATGTCATACACATATCCTGACCCTGGAAGAGACAAATGGTCTAGAACAAAATAAACCTATAGATAGACCTAAATGTGTGTGTATACACATATGACAGCTTCAGGTCCATGTGAAAGCCCTGTTGAGTTTGGAAGCAGTGTTGAATCAACTTGCTCTCCATCAGCCCAAACCTCCATAAGATAGATGAAAAGCCTAAATGTGTATCAGTAAAGGGACAGAAGTGTTTTGAGAGAAATTAAGAGACTATATGCATGCTGTATAGCCAGGTTGTGTGTGTGTGTAGGGGGTATTTTAAGTAAGATATCATAAAGCCAGAGAGAATAAGATTAACATATTTGATGAACCATGGAGTGAAAAACAGTATTATAGGCAAATTTATAATCTGGGGAACAAATGTGTGTGTGTTTTTAACACATATGCCAAAGAAAATATATTATGCTTAATAAACATAATCAACAACTGTTTCCACTTATCCAAGAAAAAAAACCCCTCAATTTAAAAATAAACAACTGAGATGAGCACTCAATGAAGCAAAATCCCAAGGCCTGTAAATAGATGAAAGACAAATGCTAACTATGAGCAAATATAATGTGGAATGATCAGCAACTACCACTTCCCACTGCCAGGTTATCATGAAATTAAGGTGGGGCACTATCCTGTGCTGGCCAGGATGTGCAGGAGGAGGTTCTCAAATGCACTGCCCCCAAGAAGGTGTACTATCACAATGGTTTGGAAGAAAAAAGGTTGCTCATGTGTGAGAAAATGAAAACTGGGTATTTGATGACCAGGCAATCCTGCTTTGGGGAACCAATCTTGCTTTTGACAATCAGTTTTCAGAAAGATAAGCATAGGCAGATAAGGATTTATGTTAAGAGCTGTCTGCTCCAATACCACTTGGGTCAGCAAAACACTGGAAGCAAAAGTATATAAAAATATAAGTCGTTGTACAGCACAGGGCTTCCTGGAAGACAGCCTCTGGAGGGAACTTAGGAAAGGTGATCCACATCTGAGAAGCTGATCCAGATCTTGGGAGCTCAAATGCAGAGGACCAAATGGTGAAGGGCCTGGCAGTTGGACGCCCCTGGGCCCCAGTCCTGGTCCTGCTACTCATCACCCTGAGTGATGTGGGCAAGTCATTTGGCCTGTTGGTCCTCAGTTGCATCATCAATAAACATCATATATCAAAAATCCAGGAAACTTAACAGGTAAAAGGAACCTAAATGCAATTTGATGCCTTTGATTACAAAAAAACGTGAATGGAAAAAGTATTGAAATCCAAATAAAGTCTGGGGCTTACTTAAGAGTAATATACCCATGTCAATTTCTTTTAACAATATGAGGTGACAGGATTAGGGGAAAGTGGGCACAGTATGGCCGACTCTGCATGATCTTTGTAACTTTTTTTCTGTTAAATCTAAAATATCTATTCCGAAACAAAAAGTTCAATACCAGAAAAAAAAAAAAGAATTAGGGGAAAAAATCTAACATGCTAACGCTAACAAAATGATAATGGAGTTAGGAAAATCCTATGCAGTTATCAAAAGTTCTTAATAGTAGAAAATGGACAGGAAGATTGGCTCTAACTGTTATAACTACGGTCCCTGAACTGGACTGGGCACTTGTATCCGAATCCAGCTGGAAACACGGAACGTTCTAAAGGTTGCTGAAGGGAAGCTTAAAAAAAGGCTTGTTTACAAACATGGTCCAAAGCCCCTGCCTGACATCACTGGCCTTCCCGGATCTGCTACGAGCCCAACCCTACAGAGCTCTTTTTCACTCTGGGACCCCACACACTACTACTGCACTAGCATAGTCCACTACACCGCCCGTCCCACGAGCCACGCTTGTTTCCAGGCTCCTGGGTTTTGAACTGGCTGTTCCCCACGCCAGGTTTATTTACGCAGGGAAACGCCTCTTCCGGGTGGAGGCTGCTCTCCGCTCTTTTTCTTTAGCTCATCATTCTTCGGGCTTTCACCTCACAGCGCTGTAGGTAATTTCGCAACTCATCACTCAGGGATAATAATGGCTACCACTGACAAGAGTCAAAACAGTGCTGCATGCAAGAAGGGGGGCGGGGTGGAGAAGAGCCAGGCGATTTAGCCGCCCGTGTCCCCTCGGGGCCACCATCTCTGCCTAACTTCTGGTTTGCCTTCACGCCCACTGCGTGATTGCGTAAGCGGGAGGGCGGGCTCAAGCCAAGTGGCGGCGTTTATTGGCTGTACAGGCGAGGGAGGCGGGGCGAATCTTCCACATGACGTCAGGACGCCGTGATCAGGACGTCGAAGCCAAAGAAGACAAGAGCCAGCCGGGTGGCCGAGTGTTTTCGCGGCCTTGGTGCTACTGCCTTGGGCCGCTACTGACGAGTCCCGGGAGCGAACGATCCTGGCTGGTGTGGTGAGCGCCCAGTGGTGAGCGGGAGGGCGGGCACGGCGTATCCTTTGGACCCTACGCCCCACGAGCCCGAGGCCTGTTCATACCAACGGACGCCGCCCGAACGTCCGCAGGGTGTGGCGGCCGGGGGCGCTACTGCGCCTGCGCGCCAGGGTGGGCGCGCGACCGGCGACTAACGCGCATGCGCTGATGTCTCCGC